ATCAGATACACCCTCTCTACCCAGACAGCAAATTACATCTTTGCCACCTCTCTCCACACCACATCTCCTGGATGGCATGCAGTGACTTTTAAGCTGGTGCGTATGGGTGTGAATCAGAAGAGGAGAAAGCACAAAGCTGTCAGTAATCTGATCATGCGTGTACCTTACAGGAGGCCACAGTGCTCATTGCAGAGGCACATGGCTAGGTTTTAAACATTCTCAAATATCGAGCTAAAGGACATCACCTCCTAGATCTGACCTTAGATCTCCCTGTTCAGATTGCTTTTCTGTTTAACAAACGCATTCCTCTGTCCTGCTTTGGGTTCTTCTGTCTCACTTAAAGCTGCCTGCCAGATCTATATAATCTGACTATACAGAAGAAGCTGTACAGGTATTGTTGAAGTGATACAATTTGTGTGTGCAGGCAAGCTCAAATATTACAAGGTCTCTGTCTTCTGAGGAATATTAAGCTGTACTCTATCAAACAACTGTTACCTGTTGAGGTTTTTGGAAAATAACTATGTGATTTTCAGGGCAATGTAATTGATTATAGTTTCCTGCACATCCATCACCATTAAAGTAACTTAGGAGACCTGTAGTCGGATATGTTTCTGCAGACATTCATTGCACGGCTGAGAGTCTGCTCAGCCTGTTTTCTTCTTGAATGCATGTATATAGGAAACAGAAACAATATGTCATTTATTCTTTGTGGAAACAAACCCCTAGATTTGCATGTCAACTGAAAAAAAAAAAAAAAAGATTAAAACCCATCCATCTAACTCATCCTCTATTGCAAAATGTTTTTCTTCTGCATAATATTTGTATCAAACATTAGAAATCACTGGCCACCTTCTTGGATATAATAGAGGTAAATTATACCTTTTCTGAGTCTGCTCCAGAAAAAGCGTTTATTGACTTGGGAGGGAGGGCAGGTAGGCCTTACGGTTACACGAAACCTCTGACAGATACTCAGGAATCTCTGTCTCCAGTGTGTTCTTGCCTCCAGCTGAGTAGTTAAAGTCATCTTACCAGGAAGGATACCACTGACCTCCATGCACACTTGTTCTTAGGCTGCCTGTTAGCTTTTCCCTAGAAATACATCTTTCCTGGCATCGGGTTTGAGAAAATAGCACTTTTTTGCTCCCCCATATATTCTTCTTACAGGCACTAGTATGCTCTGGTACCTTGCCTAGTCTCTGTTTTTGAGGTTAATTGCTAGGGTACTCGACTGGATACTCTTAGTTATGAACACCCACAGAAAAGGTACTTTTTGAACATGTACTAGTAGACCTTTAATCTTCTGATCTGAGACTGATACCAAAAGCTTTCTGTTCCTAGGTAATGAAGAGTGAAAGGTTAACACAGACTCAAAGCAACAATTGCAATTTCCTTATCACCATTAGACTTTGGAGCAAAATATAATTTGCAACCATAAAAACACTAAAAGGGGTTTTCTGAGGCCTAGCCTCTGGCATACCAATCTGAAAAGGATACTTTGAAATAACTTGAAGATCAGGAGGTAATTCATTGCTTGAGGAAATGGCAAGAACCTTGCTTCTAGCAAGAGTAATTTGCGCTGTGTTTTGGCATTAAGCTGTAAAGATGGAATTTAAGAGACCTTAGTCCACATGAGATGCTCAGCAGATGCACGCATGTCTTTTGGGGGTTAGTATCTTTTTAGGAGATGGGTACTTTAAAATAGCAGAATGTTTGTCTTGCAGAGTGTTATTTTTATTTTAGAAAGAGCTTGATCTGGGAATGCAAAAAACCAAAAGAATTGGGAAAAAGAGCCTTTTTGTTATTGTTCCAACCCTGCTTGTACAGTGCATTTGTAAGAATAGCAAATAATGAGAACCAAAATTCTAATACAAAATAAAAGCCAGGGCAATTGTGTGGATGGCAGAGGAATTTAAAACAGTTCCATAAAACTAAAACAATTTTCTCCAAATTGCATTGCTTATACAAATTGTATTGCTTATCAGAGAAGATTGCCTAGCTTCATAGCTAAGGGCTGGACCGGTTGCTTTAAGAGGTGTTTTCCTAGAAAGTGGTTTGAAACAGAAACATTTAAGGAAGAAAGAGCACCCAAAGCGAGCCAACAAGGAAAAATAGAAACCCATGACCTTTAAGAAAAAGAAATAGTTCAAGAATAATGATAAAGGCAGCACTAAAAGTAGCTAGTGGAAACCCAGCAGAAGACAGGTTTCTAGAACAACATCCAGAGAAAATACATGGAAAAGAGACAATCATTCCTTTCACAAATTAAACTAACCCATCAGTGGAACTCACTGCCACAAGGCAGATCTGAGGTCAAGAATCACAGATTCACAGAATAGTTAGGGTTGGAGGGGACCTTAAGAACAAGGGAGTCATAAGCAGTAAAGCTGTGTTGTTTATCATGTACGGCCAGAAAAATTCTGGAGGTTTTGGGTCCGGCTGGCTCCTTGGGAGTTGTTAAACACCCTAGTGGAAGCTAACACAGCCTGTGCTTCTAATTGTCTGAAATTCCTTATCCCGCAGGATGAACATCGGTGAATGGCAGCATTCACATATACAGAGAGTAAAGCAGATGTCACTTGGTTTTCAGGAAGCCTTGTCTGAAAATGTGATTCCAAACTACATGGATAGAACAAATGCTGTGTTGATTGTGAAAGTGTAAAGCGTGGTGATAAGTGGCAGTATCAGAGATTGTGTCATTGTGGATGGAGGATCCTGGAAGGTTTGACGCTGCAATCCCATTTTACTGAGTATCTAATATCTAAAATATCAAATAAATGGTACAGTAATGAAATTTGGAGACTGCATCACATTTGGAAGAACCACAAATGTTCATGTTGGTGGAGGAACAAATATAAGGGACACCAAGATTTACAAAAAAAAAAAGGGGAGAAAAGGTTATGAATGATACCTGCTGTGGAAGCAAAGCACAAACTGCAAATGTTATCACAGTTCTTCAGTTAACATCATAAAAAGTTAACTGATCTTCTAGGGTGAAATTCTGACCTCAGTTGCATGTAAACGAGAAAACTACCAGTGACTTCAGGAAGTTCAGCATTTAACTCTCAGCTGCTTTTTTTCTGTTTGAGAATGGGATTTTCAAATGTGACCAAGAGATTTAGAATCAGAATCATCAACTGGGTAGAGCTGGGAGGGACCTTAAAGATCATCTAGTTCCAACCTCCCTGCATATACCTGCCCTTTGGTCCCTTTCAGTACAGTTTGCAAAAGCACATTGCTAAACAGGTAGCATACACATCTGCTTGAAAATGGGTCAGCTTTCCTTACCAGAAAAGACCAACTGTTTATATTTCAGTGATGCTCAGTTCAAACAGCACTATCCTGTGCTGCATCAGGGTATGTCACTGCAATCCAATCCATTTAAATTTATTCTTCTCTTCCACCTTCACCAAAAAGCACGTGGGAGAAACAGTAGAATGAGTTTTTCCAGCATTTTAAATCAATGTTTAAGAGAAACTATGTTTTAGCCCAACACGGGTTATGATGTAGGAAGAACTATGTGAAATTTAAGAGCCTGGGTTATCCAGGAGGTCAGACTACCTGATCCTGGTCCTTTTCTGCCCTTTAACTCACCGAATAAATTAGAAACCTGATCTCTCAAAGTTTTAATTTCAGAGCTGTCTTTGTAAATGGGGGTGGAGTGGAATTCCTAATAAATTACATCCTCCTCCAACATTCATTTTTTCTCCCTGAGAAAGGGTTTCTTTTAAAAAACAATGTTTAGTTCCACATATTTAAATTACAGAAATTCATATCTCTTTATGTCTTACACCGTACTGTGTGCCAGCACAGCAATTATTAAAGCATTTTTATTGATATTACACAGCTCTCTGTGAAATGTGAATTAAATTTATCATGAAAATTGATTTTTAATGACAGCTCAGGTTTACATTTCTAAAGTTCATACCTTTCTACTATTTTTTTTGTTGGCACTAGAATAGGGCAGCTACAATAACTTTGTCAGAAATGGATTAGGAGATATCCTGTAGTTTACTCGTATTTATCAGTATAATTCTACAGATGAAAGCAGTACAGTTTTCTACTGAAGTTAATCTGCAGAGAGCAGAACTGGACTAACTGGGCCACATCTTCATACTCGAGTACCTGAAGTTCCTACATCTGCCCTTAGGCACTTACAGGATTGTCTTGATTTTTAAAGCCGTTGAATGTGCTCAGCTTTCATTTTAATTTGATGAGAATAATGGGACAGCACATCCCTGGAATCGAGGCATCATCCTTTGCCTCTTTCCCCCCATATATTATCTTTCCTTATTGCCAACAAACTGCTGGAGGTAACTTTTGGTTTAGCAGACTGAACATGACACTGGATACTAAAGCAGTTAACAGTGCAGGGAATGCTGCATTTTAACCTACATGTTTTTTCAGCTGCTGCAGATGGAAGGGGCACAAGAATTTTCCAGGCTTGCTATTTAATGTGTTGTATTAATATGCTTTCATGAAAACAGTCATCTGACATGGAACATGCAGGAGCAGAGTCTGGGCTTACAGGTCTCCTCCGGCCTTAAGCAGGCTGAGGACAGAAAGGTACAATGTGAAGTCAAATGCAATTACTGACCATTGCAAACAATATTATGTCAACTGAACATCAAGCATGCTTAATGTTCAGGTAGCTTTCAGAAGGAAATTGGGTCCGTATTAGCGTAAGCTACTGTGGATAAAACCTCCAACTTGGTGAAAATGTCACTTTTGCTTCTCCAAAATAGCCGTATTTCTGTAAGACACATCTGTGCAGGAGGTGGGGGGAGGCTTGGGTTGTTTTTCATTGGCTGATGGGGGAAGGTTTATTGGTTGTTGTTAAAAATGATCCGAAGCAAACTTTTACAAGGTCTTCTGTGACTAATAAAACCTGAGTCTTTGAAATGTACTACAACCCAAGTTGCTGTTAAGAGATAATTCTCTTCGATCCAGATGCTTCCATCTCAAGTGCAGTGCAGAGAAAAGAAAAAGGGAGAAAGAAAATTGATGGAAAGCTCCTGAAAGCAGAGGGGGAAGTCTGCAATTTCTCTCCCTTTAACACTTCGTACACTGAACTTGGGAAGTAGCTTAATGGTTCCTCTGCAGAGTGTGGCACGATGGGGACTGAGAAGGACCCCTGCCCCATGTGCTTACCTGTGAAGAGATGCAGGGAAGTATAGTCCTTTCCAGGCTGGGTAGGGCACTGACACATCAGGATTTCATCTGAAAGGTGACAGTAGATAAGGTGGGGTTATCTTCCTCATAGTGTAATCTCTGTATCGGTGAATTTTTCACCTCTTCTTGCACTCAGACCCAAGGGCCTGCTCATGAGCAAGAGAGTGAGAGAAGGTGTGGAGGCGTTTTCTCACTGTCCTGCAAGATGCAGTATGGCTGCTGCTTGTACAGTGATGCAGCATCATCTCCTCCTGTCTTCAGAATATTCCCTCCAGAGAGGAATGAAGATATTTTCATGGCCACCCATCTCTTGGGTGTTAATTTCATTTTTGGCCAGTCCTTTCCCCTACTGCCTGTTCCCTCTTACATCTTGTTCCTGACCTCTGGACTTCATGCTTTAGTCTGGAGAGACGGAGACTTCAGTCATCTCTGGAAAAGCAAGTTTGTCTGTTTGTAAACAGTAAATCACGACTGGCAGCTTTGTTTCATGGGACACCAAATCCTTCTGACTAGTAGTGATAGCTAGAAATCTAAGGTGCCTTTAAAAATCCCAACCTATACATCCAATATATTCTGCAGATGGTACACAAGCAGCCCCAGTATTTACAGAACCTCACTGGTATGTCTCACTTACCTGTTTGCTTACCCCATCTAAAACATCCCATCAGCAGACACTGCACATATTTTGTTCTGAGAAGGCAATCCCTTTTTATCTCCCATGAATTTGAAAATACACCAAGCTCCTCAAACGAAAAATAAAAAGAATAATGAGGCAGACACAAGCAGTATAAATCAATATAGCACTATTGATGTCAACAGAGCTATGCAAATATATACTAGCAGAGGATGACAACAGAAAATCAAGTACTAACTTTATACGGAGAAAGAAACAATGGCAGCAATATTAAATACACTTTTCAGCTATGCTCAGAATGGATTGTGGAGTAAGTCATTGTTGTAATATGTAATTTGAGAGGGCTGTGAATTCTTCTGTGAGCATGTTGCTTCAGGAGACGGAAGAAAAATCAAAGCACAGCCTTGCAAGTAACATTCCCCCCTGATATTAACAATAAAACCATAACACTGCTTGGCTTTAAGTAACAATTCTAACCAGTTTTTGCACAGTGTTACAAATTCTGCTCTGCCCCAAAGAGTCAAGGTTGCAGCAGTGCCGGAACAAACGCCATTGGAGGCAAGTGATTTGCGTCAGCATTGGTCAACATGGAGTTTTACTAAAAACATTATTTCTGAAGTCATTTCTGCCTGCAATGAGAGTTATGGTTGTACTGCAGGCAAAGTTCCAGTAAGGCACTGGGTCTGCTTGGATAAAGCCCCTTAAGAGTAAACAAGAAACATACCGGTATCATTAGTGAATGTGCTACTCTCTTTAGCAGAAGAAGCTGCTGGGCTCACACGAAGCAGTGGTGGTGACAGAACGATGTATCTTTTGGTTAAGCTGCCAGTTGAGCTTTGGTTTATCAGCACAAGACTTACCATACGCATGAAGCCCCTTTGTGAGCTGATGAGCTCCTGACTCTGAGGTTCCCCACTGTCAAATCTGACCACAGAAAAGGATAGTGGGTAAACAGAGCTAACGAAAAAAATAATAATTAATAAATCAACACCTTAGCAATTAATGTGTGCGCCTACCCCGTAAGTTCTTCACGTAGCAAACTTGTATGTTAAATATTCACCTAATATTCATTTCACAGAATGGAAATATTCCTCACACACATTAACTGAGACAATTACTGAAACGCCAACATCAGATTAGCTACTGTATCTTGAAAAGAACAAAAAAGGAATCATTGCTACGGTGAATTTCAAAGTGTTAAAAGGCTCAAAAGGTTGTTCAACTAGTAGATGATTTTAAGCAAAGCTAATAAAACATGGACACTTCATTATTCATTCATGAGAAAGGCTGAGTTCAGACACTGCATTTCAGTAGAGAAGCTGGTCTATAATATCCTGTCTTTTGTTCATCGTTTCCATGATCTCCATACATCTCTTGTTTATGTAGCAATTCTTTTAGTGCACTGAAGCCCAACCCAGGGAGGTCAAAGAAGAAATCCTCACCGTTTCAATAAGCTTTAAATCTGGTCCCAGTCACCATCTTCCCTGCTTTGGGATGGAGCCCTACATAGGGCAGGAACCTCATACTGATAGCTCAGTGCTTTCCAGGAAATAACTTCTCCCTTCTTTCACTGAATCCTTATTAAAAGCCTGGGTCCTTTCCTTGTGAGTAAAACTGCAAGATCACCTTCACCTTTAATTTGCAGCAGGACTATAAGATTCAGATCAAGAGCCACATCAGGAGATTTGTGATCCATTTTCTGGCTCTGGTTCTGATACGTGTCATGAATAGTGGTGTGCAGATTACTCCGGTCATTTGTTCTTCACTCAGACCGCCCATGGGTACGGGAATGGAATTAATTTCCCTGTTTGCAAAGTGCCTTAATAGTGCTCACAACAGCAGTCATGAGCCAAGGCTAAGGACATGCTGCCTTGGGTGCTAAATGCTACGGGGAACTGAGGTTTCCAAAGTCAGCTGGAGAATTTGGATACAAATTATGGGAATTTTAATAGGCATCCAGATCACCGAGGCCAGTTTAAAACATCATCTTTAAGCATCACTAGCCATAATGACTCCAGCTTTTTGCTCCAGTCATTTTCTCCTGCGTATCCAGTTAGTCATTATTTCTTTGTATTCTGCCTCTTTCCAGGCAGAGACCTTCTAACCATAAAGCTTCCAGGAGCATAACCTACTGTCAAATGAGGCAAAACACCAAATAATTAAATGAATAAGCAGTATCAAGGTCCATTGAAGGAAGAGTTTGATTAGGTAGAAGGTGGCTTATGATTTACTGATCTGATGTACCTTATTTTCATCTTCTCTTTTCCTGTCAGAGTGTTCTTGCCATTTAAAAGTTAATGTCTTGATTTGACATTTTCTCCCATTCTGCATCCCACTTGCTATAATTACAGCTCTTCCACCTTCCAGTGCAGCTTTTAAACACATTATTATTTATGTATTTTTAATCCTTTTTTCCCCCAGACTCAAATTTATTTGTAATTTCTCAGGGAAAAAAAAAAAAATCTAGTTAAAAAAGAACTCCCAGGGATTATGGGAGGGGAAAAGGAAGGAAAATAGGATAAGGAGAGTTATTTCTTGTATAGGGCATAGTTGAGCTAATAAAGGAAAAGTTTCATCTCAAAGGGATGGTCAAATCTTTTCAACACCAGACAGATGGGATCATGAATCCCTTGAGGTGGGCATAATCTTTGTGTTCTCACTGCTGGGCACTGTGCAAGCAGAGGTTCTTGCTCATGACCAGTGGTCTGTTCCCAAAGCAAATAATAGCAGCAATAACTTAACAATAAAAAAATACAAACTGTGAGATAGGGGAAAAAATGATATCACAGGGATATCAAGAGCAGGCCAGCTATATAGCTGGTTGTGCACTGTGCATAGCCAAGACTTTACCCTTGGCACAGCAGCACCTCTGCAGACTGCTACATCCTATTTGTTACACGTTTAGCAAACAACACTGTCCTATGGGAGGTGCCATATTTTAGCCCTTATTTGAATCGTTTCTGTAGATGTTTTTTGTTAAAGCATGCAGTGATCCAGTGAGGCTTTCCAAGAACCTCCCCACAGACCTAGCTGCCTCCAGAAATGGCAGGTAAAGCACTTCACCTCACCTCTTTCACAGTAATACCATGAAAACCTACTGTCCTAAATCATGCCCAGAAGCCTCATACTCGCATTGCACTTGTACTGCTCCTCATTCTCCCTCCCTTCTCAAGATAGTCTTTTACAGTGCAACTTAGAAAATTATGATGGCTGGCTGATCCAGGACCAGCCATCAAAGGTCCCGTTCACAGAGCTGCTGTAAAGCCATGTCCCAGCCCTGTGGCAGTCGTAGAATCATTTAGCTTGGGAAAGCCCTGTAAGATCATGGAGTCCAACTGCTATATAATCCTCACAGCTTTATTATAAACTGATGGCTGGTACCACACACACTGAATTTCTCTGGAACTCCACACTGAACCAGAGACTGGAAATGCTAGACGCCCTTCAAGTAGTAAATGCCTTTTCTGAACATCTTAACTTAATAGGGTTTTATTATTTCAGCCACCTGCAAAATCAGAACATGACTCACTAGGCTGAAAATGTTATCTTTTCAAGATCCCAATTTGTTGACTGTGTGTGTATGTGGGGAGGGTCTTCTTGTTTTCTATTTGCTTTTGGTTTATCCTCAATTCTCATTTCATCTCCCTTTGTATTGATTTTGCAATTTTCCTTTCTGCTTTTCACGTTTCACACACTTAATTTCAGTGATTCTCCTTCTTTTCTTTCTGCATTAGTATTTAATATGTGCATGTGTCTCCATGTTAAACACAGCGGTTCTCGATATCTTATCACCTTCACAGTACTCTCACCAAGACTTTCCTTCTTTTGTTTCTGCTTGGGTCACACTAATGGTTATCCTGGCAGTTGGAGTGTTGGGAACTCTTTTCAACTAAATAAATCAAACCAGAAAAACAGAGTACAGGGTTTCCTTTGATAACTCCTTAAGCAAGTTCATAGGCCATATTTATAGTATTGCTGAGCAAATGTTAGGATTTCAGCAGAAAGTCTTATTCCCTTCTTTATTATTAACATGTTAATGTAAAGGGAACTACAAATGGCTGGAGTGTGAAATGCTGTTGTCACTGGGCTCGGTATTTCCAATGGATGCAATATTGATCGGTACAGCTCAAAAAAGAGAGGGTGTAACTGTCCTCAGGCCTCAGGTTTAACACAGAGCAGCTGGACAATGCCGCTTACACAGACCTCTCCAGATGCTTCTCAAGCATCCTTAGCTTCAGGAACAGCATTTCAGTGACTGTGGGACTCTTCACCTACCCTTCTGTGCTCTGTCTTGCCCTTAGCCACCAACATACACTGCAGGTCAGAAGGGGAGGCATCATGGCTCTGCTGCATATAGTGCCTGCCAATGGTTAAATGGTATTTTGTGAGTCTCCTTCAGTACAGCTGGAGGGCAAAAACGTACCTCCTCCACCCAATATTGCATTTAAGAAGTTGTTATATGTTGCATGGTGAGAGTCCCAAGCATATAAAAACTACGCTGTGGTAAAAGCACATGTACATCTGTTTAACTTTACTGCCATGAGTAGTCCCCGTTCAAATCTCTGTGATTAATCAGAAGCAAAATCTGAAGTGTAGGAAGGGCAGGACCAGGACATTACAAATAAGCAGGCTGAATCTCCTCATTCGAGAGAATCACAGCACATACATTTGCTGAGGACAAAAGATTGGCCAATTTCTTATACTATATTATATCTGTATTTCTTATATTGCCATGGCCTCAGGAACAGCATGAATTGTTATCCTGCCTGGTTTTGATCCTTTTAGAATCATAATCTGTTGCTTTCATTAAACAGCTTAATTTAGTCATTCTAATATTTTTAATTGAAAAAGCAGCACCCAGTTTCAATGAGTTCTTGGCTTTGTAGAATAGGATATGATCTACTCTTACCTCAAATCTTTGGTGTCCAACAGTATTTCTAGTGTCAGCAGCTAAGGACAAGTGACTGTTCAGTAATCTCAGCTGTTAAATAATAAGAAAAAAAGACATTAGCCTTCAGGGGTTTGAAAAACAAGTTTTTAGAAGACTGTAGTATAGTATACAGTACACAAATCACATCCTTTCACAATGAGCTGTTCAACATAGTTTTCACAAATCAGCCCTGTAATTTTGCAGGCTGTTGACTTGATTTTAGCAAATTTGGCCTTCAGAGTTTTGAGAGTATGAAATCTCTCTCTGTAATTACTGAGAATCCTTTTTTCTTTTAAAGGCTGATTTTTAAAATTGATTGGAAATTAATTTACCTAGCTTGAGTCTCAGAAAATTAATTCTGTATTCACAGAGCAAGTTGCAAGTTTAGGGAGGATATGCTGTGTTCATCACACAAATGAGAGTTAATAGCTGTTTTAAGCGCTGCATGCATACCAGTGCACACTGTAGAGCTGCAGAAGATGCTGAAGATCTCTATTACAAAGATGAAGAGGATTGGGTTAAACACCACGAATTATTCTGTGTTTTGTTTTTCACTCTTGTTATTCAGACCCTCACAGGCTGTGTCAGATGTTGCATTTTGCCAGGAACCTCTTTCAGAAACACTTCAGACATTGTTTTCCATGTAAAGAGCTGTGGTTTTCCAGGAGTGATTCACCAGCAGTGAGGTGTAAATGAGGCTCCATTTTTGGTAGCTTAGCTAGACTAAGGTTGTGTGGTAATAAAGCTCTGACAAGAGGAAATTTGTTGGTTGATTTATCATTTTTCCCCTGAAGAAGAAAGATTCTTCTGCCCAATTCTATCTTGAAGAAAAAACCAAGAAACCTCACTAGAAAGATTATAATAGAATGCCCCATTTTGTCAGTATGTGGAAGGCACTGGGATGACTGCCATTGCCTCAACAGCTCCCAGTGCTCCTGTAGTGTTTCAGTAGAGGAATTTTGTTCCTCTAAAGAGCTGGATTCTCCTGAGGAGCCAAGCTGACCCTTCCAGAGCTTCAGAATGCTATAGCAATGGAGATAAAAACAGTTCAGAAAAAATGACCCACCTTGGAGCAACCAAAATTTAGGGAAAGCCAAGCCTGGCCATTTATTTATACAATGAATGATGATGATATAAAACATCAAGAGACAGTGGCAATATAACAACCCCTAAAATGATTTCCAAGCACAGCGCTGTACTGTTTAGACAATCAAAATTACAGTCTGAGAGTACAAGATTAATTAAACTGTGACAAAAGACAGTATTTCCAAAATCAAGTGAAGTGAAATACTTAGAATCCTGAGTAGTAAAATGACATAAAATTCAGGAATACCTGCTCTTTCAGATTTATAGATCTGCATCCTCAGGCTCTCCACTTGCTTTACTTAATCAGCCATACAGCCTATGTGTAGACAAGGAAAGGAATAAGGTAAAAAAGCAAGTGGTGCATAAGGGATACTGAAGTTGGACAAGGCTGCATTTTCTCTTCTTCTCCTCTTTCTCCACTCAAATCTTCCCTGCCCTCCCCCTCCTGCTCTGCTTCTCACTAGTGCTTGTTGAAGGCCTGTCTGGGTTTTTCTTTATTATTACTGTTTTATTAGAAGTTCAGTTCCTGCTGTGTCTGAAACATTCTGCGATAGCTGGAGAATAAGTCAAATGTGACACTACATAAAATAAGAGACTTGACTAACTGCGATAGGAGGAGATTTACAATCTGAGCGTGCAAAGCTTTGTGTTGTTGGGTTTTGTTAACACTTAATTTCACTTCTCTGGCTGGACTCACATTTTCCTCTATTAAACTTTCGCCCAGCTTCTTCTCCCTTCAGATATTCTGGGAGAGTTGGGTAAGTGCATTTCCTGAGATACCCTGTTGAAGGATTAAAATAAGTGCTTTGGCTGAATTACTGGGGCCCAGGGGAAAAGTCTGGGGATAGAAACCCTGGATGATGAGACAAGGTCAGATGCTGGTCAGCTGTAATCACCCAGGTGAAGCACTGACCTGCTGGAAAGTAACCACAGAGACAACATGAAGTAAGACAACATTAAGTAAGGGCAAATTGTCCCCACACTCCACCTGGATGGTTTCACTCACGGAGTTTACTCACAGCTCTCAGGGAGGATGGCGTAACACTTCGAGTAAAAGCAGAACTGATCTGTACCCCACATTTTTAAGGGCTGGGTTTTTTCTTAAAGCAGTTCCCTCACCCATCTTCTCCCATCACCCTTTAAAGAGCTGTCAAGCAGCAGGTTTATTTTTGCTGAATCCAAATTTAGGGTGTTAGGGAACAAACCAACCAGGGACACATTTCAGAGAAAGACTCCTTCACATTTTCAGCACAACACACAAGCAAACAACTCTCTTTCTGAACACTTACATCCACCACCATCTCCTCTTGCTCCTGCATTTCTCTGAGCTGAAAGTGACTTGAACAAGTTCCATTCTGGCAATAAGGAAAATAAAGCAATATTAATATTCTACATGATGTTAATAAAGCATCATCTTACACTCCATTCCAGCTGCCAGAATCTAGCAGGGACCCTTGCAGTGAAAAAGTGGGTACCTCCATCTGACTACCATATCACAGCCCCATCCTATCTTCTTCTTCAAGCTCCCCTGTCTACATTCACTCCCTCTCTTTCTTTCTCACCAACACAAGCTTTCCAGGGCAGCAAATGCTCTTTATGTTTTACATTTGCACAGTTGCAAGTACAATGCAATTCCTACCCTTAGGCATTAGCACAGTATAAGTCTCAAAAAAAACAGTATTACATTTTTGCTTCTACATATGGCTTTGTGTAGAACGTGGCTCTGAACTTGGCTTGGCCACAACCATCTTCTCTGTACAAACAAGCCAGAGGGAAGCAAGTCCATGGGAGCATTAGGAGCTGGGTAAGGAGAAGGGCTGAAGGGTGGTTGCACAGAGCAGTGGAAGGCTCCTGGACCTGGCACAAAGGGGAGATTGAATGAGTGGGTGGTTTTGAAGCTGGTCACTGCTGAGCAGCATAAGCACTTGAGACCTCACTGGGTCCAGCCAGACACAGTAAGCACAGCTCCTGGGAAAAGCTGAGCATAGACAATCGGCAACCACCACTACTTTGCTTGCCCCGGGGCAGGAGACAGCACGAAGGCTGTCAGAGGCCACCACTTGGGTGATTTTGACAGCTGACAAATATCCTGGTGGAGAATGACCTATTCACCAAAGGCAAAATTAATAATGGATGAGGTTTGAAGGAACTGTTCAGGAGTGCTGTGTTTGGCTGTTAGGTAGCGGTGGTCCGGGTGCTCAAGGTCACCACTAAAGGGGATGTTTAATGCCCAGCTGACACTCCCCTTTGATTTCAAGCTCCCTTTAAAATTCATTTGCACACTCCCTGGCTGACTGAGATACACGCTGGATTAGTAACACACACCGCTGCTCCTCTCAGCTCCCTTTTCCTTTCACTGCCTTTGAGCATTCCAACAATACTTTTGCTCTTGCTTATCTCAGATATTTTATCTGTCTGCAGTATTTTCTCCCTGTGCTGCTCTCATTTCCCTCTCTGTCCCTCCATGTAATCCTTATCCTACTCTGTGCTTCTTTAATCCTGACTGCCCAATTATGCAAATCGTACATTTGCATTTTGACAGGGCTCCTCCACCCCTTGTCTGACATTATTTGTAACACAAACCATTTCTCCATGCTCCCCCCAGTTCCTTGCTGCCTCTCAGATTCGTCACTAGGATGGTGTGTTGAAAATGTGGGGCTCAGCCTTGATCCCTCTGCCAGCTCTGGGTCTGCAGGGCAATGCAGGCAGCCCTGATGCTGGGGCCATGCTGCACAGGACAGCTCAGAGAAGATCACTGACCTCTTCTTAATGTGTTGGTTGAGAGTAGAAATAGGTCTTCTCACTGGAACTCCCTGTCATCAGGTACAGGAGGGCTGTAGCTGCAAGAAGCTGAAGTGGGAATATTAGTGCAGGTGAAGTAATCTTCTCCCACTTTGTGTCATGGTTTAGAGTGGGTATTAGGAAAAACTTCTTCACCTAAAGGGTGCTCAGGCACTGGAACAGCCTGCCCAGGGCAGTGGTGGAGTCACTGTCCCTGGAAGTGTTCAAAACAATATAGATGAGGCCCTCAGTGACATGGGTTAGTGGTGGCCTTGCAAGTCTTGTGGGAACAGTTGTATTTGATGATCTTAAAGATCTCTTCTTGATTCTATGATTGAGGCAGGTTTCTAGTAGTTTTTTCAGAATGCTGTGGTTTTATAGCTATTCCTCAAAGATTAGCTGCACTTGTCTACATCTCGGCATAAAAATAACCCATAGTACCCTTAAGAATCAAGTTCAAGTAGAGAAATTAAATGCTGTTTCTTTCATAACTTAGCAAAACACACAAGATCTTATAATAGCATCTTCCACATTAAGGTGTATTTATTACTACTGTACTCTGCACCAGCTATTATAATGCCCTCATCTCTAGAACATTGAAGGTTTTTCTTACTAGAGTAGCATCAGTTTCTGCTTCCACTCATTCTCTTCCTTGGAGAAGGTTTCTTTCTGCAGACTCGTGTTTTATTTGGGTAAGGTCTTATTTATCTTAATTCTAAGTACATCCTGCTCTACGTTTATACTGGAGAAGACAAGGTCAGGAAAGTATACATCTTATTTAGACTGGAAAGTGCTGAAGTCTGAGGGCTCCCTGGGAGAAGTCTCCCAGTGGTAGGCAGCATTCTTACTGCTCTCTCATGATGACCTTCATTAGCTCCCACACGAGTTCATTACCTCATCTTCCAAGAAAGCTTCATATCTGCAACATGTCACACGGTGGTAAAATTACATTTAAAAGTACAAAAGCCACCTTAGCTTTGCTGGACTGGAGCCAGGCTTGCACAAAACACCAGTGGCATGTCCAATCCTATCCCACCTTCAGGACGCTGCCAGTACGGAGGGATTATTTGCATGTTACAGATGCAGCAATGTATCCCCAAGAGATGACCATCCCCTAAGGTAGGAGAGGCAAAGGCTGGGAGTGAAGAGGCATCACCCACAGTTACACAGAGGCAGGAATAACT